TTAATATAATTATCACATATCGTTTTATCACAAAAGCAACAATTTATGTAACCAAAAAACTCTTCTAACTCTTTATGAATCAATTTATTACAATACATATATACTAATACTATATATTTTTTAAGTAATTTTATATAATAAATATCCAGATATAATACCAATCACAACCATTGTACCAGATTGATAATTTTTCATATTCTTAGATGGTTTGTAAAAGTCATTTAATTGTGGTTCTCTATGAAATGTTAACCGTTGTAATGTATTGTTTTTACTTTTCTAAGCGCATCTAAAGCTTTGTTTGTAAGTTCTATATCATTATCAGCATATTGAAGTTCTTGTCTTAGCTGTTGTATTTTATCATGCTGCTTGACTTCATTTTCATAGAATCCTCTTTAGCCTTTTGTAGTTTTACTAAAGAATCATGGTATCTTTTCATTTCCTCAGTGTAACCGTTTTTATCAAGTTTATGAAATAGCCAGCCTGCTAGACTAAATCCTAGGCCATTAACAACAGCTCCAAAAGCTGTTCCAACCCCACTAGTAATAACACTTGTCATATATATTTATGCAGATTTAAATGGATTTTCAGGGACCCATTTTTTGTCTTGAGCATATTTAACTAGCATTGTTGATGATGTAATAGCAATAGCTAGTTTTGTAAAATCTTTAATATTATCAGTATCTGTTAATTTTTGACCTAGTAGTTTTTTAGACATCATAGAAAGACCTACAGCAGTTGTTGTCACAAGCACTGCATCAAAAGCTTCATTCATAAATTGTTTCTTATTCATAGTATTACTCATATATAATAGGAAATATTTTATTCAAATGAGTCTAAATTATATTGCTTATTTTTTTCTATCAAAACATGTTTTTCACTAGTTGTTTCTTCTTTCACTTTATCGTTTGTTAATTTTTCCTGCCTTTTATCATTTTTTCTTGTATAATAGAGACTAACAATAGCGGTTAATACTCCAATAGTTCCAAATAAAAATCCGTAATTAATATTCCAGCTATTATCCTCAATTTTCTTTTTATTTTCTAATTCAATCTATCTTTCTTTAGAAGCTTTCGATATAGCAGCTAAGCGTTTACCAGCTTCGACTCTAATAGGTCTTTTTCTTTCTTAACTGTAGTTATCTTTAGTTTTCTTCAGACATGTTATATAATACTGTAGATTTTGTTCACAGATAACTCATAGATAATCTTATAGATAACTCACAGATAATCTTATAGATAACTCACAGATCTTTATATTTTTTGTTATATTTACTCACCATACTATCTATAGTAGTGCAATTGTCTATTATAATATCATCAATAACTTTTATGTCTGATAGAAATATCAATTCATCATAAGGTATTCCCCTTAAATATGACCTTATATCCATAAGTATTTTTTCATATGATGTATATGCAAATTTACACATTTCTAAGTTATTATTAATCTTACTCTTAACCATATAACCTTGAACTAAAGCACCTAAACCACTCAGGGTGGCTATAACTATCGGGTTGACAGTTATAATACCTAAAATACCAGCAATCGAGACTAGAAAAATACTTCCCATGTTTAATGATAGTCTAATTTTCTTTAATTTATTATATTTCCATTTATAACAAGTATACATTTTATGATAGTACAAATACAACTTTTTCAGCTTTTGAAATTCATCTTGACTCAACTCACTCGAAATATGATTGAAATCTAGAACTTTCTTCATATTATATTATAAAACATATTTAACTAATATGAATGATAATAGCGTTGATATACTGAGTAAAGCAATCATATCTGTTTGATGAGGATTATTTACTATCATTTTTGTATGTTTATGTACTAATGGTTTTTTATGAACTTCATCTAGAGTATCTAGGTGTTGTGATGGTGTATTTTGATGTACTTTTTTAGGTTCTTCCTTTTTAACTCCATAATAATTTATTTTAGAATTAACACCGAATTGCATATTTTTATTAGCTAATGTTAAAATATTATTATACCCATCAATTTTTTTATCTAATATAATCATACGGCTGGGTATTAAAATCATACCAGGGCTTATAGCCATATTCAAAATAACATATGTATCTTTTATAGCTTTCCGCATATTAGATATAAATACAGTCGTATCATTCTGTACTATAGTATCCTCTAATAATTTCCTAAAAACTTTTTGTGTTTGCATGCTCTTAGCTCCATGATTAACTATTGACCATCTTGTATTTGCTTGAGCTCCAAGAACTGTATAAACAAAGCTTTCAATAGACTCTTGTAAAAGAATTTTTCCAATTAATGTAATACCTTCAGAATGATATGCAATGAAGCTCCTATAATCAGTAGTTGAATATTGAAAATTAACATAATACCCATCATTGTTTTTATCAAATTTTAAAATACCTTTATAAGGTATATGTTTTTTCAATTCCGTAAAGTCATATTTATCTAATAACGATGGGTGCTTCATAAATTTTTTAATCTGATAATATAAATGGTATTTAACAAGGCTTTGTATAATTCTGCTTTTATCAAAATTTAAATGATTAAGCCCAATACCAGATAGAAACGAAGCCACATAACAACCACAAATCATACTATAGTATGCTTCTTGTTTATAATTTAAATGATTTTTAATATTGTATCTTATACCAGTCGACTGTTCTTTTTTACTTTTAATTTCACTTGACCACATGGCTGTTATAGGTGGTAAACTACTCATAAAATAATCATTTTCAGTTACATATAATCTGAAGTTACAGATATCGACATTTACCGGCCTTTGAAATGTAGGTTTTACAATAAACTTTGATGACCACCTATGCAACATATGATCAAAATAGTCCTTAGAATGACCTTCATCTCCATTAACAGCTGCTATTAGATTTGAAAACGAAGGCTTTTTAGTTGTTTCTAAATATATTTTTGGCCATGCTTGTACATTTTTTGAATCATCATCACCTAATTTTATAGCATTTTCTTTTATTTGTTTATCTGACATATAATATAAGCTATATTATATATGAAGTTCACTGTTTTTATAGACGGAGATAGTAAAAATTGACTTACAAGAAAGTATAGTAACAACTAACTATTCATATTTATATATTAAAAAGCTTATGTGTATTGGGAATATAAAAATGTAAAATTAAATAATACTTTAGCTTTTACAATAGGCACAACAAAAATATAATATAGATGCTGGTTACTGGACTTTTAAAATGCTTAAAACGTTTCTTGAGTCTGTTAACGTAAAGCTTGAGATGGTAGAAAACAACGGAACTTGTAAAATAACTAATAATAATGATGAGTATTAGTATTGTCTGATACTCTTATTAAAATGTTAGGTTTAATGATACTATAAAACTATGAAAAAGGTATCGTACAAAATGGTGTTTCTAAAGTGGATATAAACAGAGGATTAAACTATATTCAAATTTCTTCTAATATTGTAAATTCAAGTTATAATTATAACCCTGAAGGGAAAAAAAGTAATATAGCTTTAACTTTACCATTAATAACAATTCAGACTTTATTTGGTGCTTTATACGAATACAATGATATTGAATCTAAAGTTACAATTATAAAAGGAGCCTTTAACGAGCTATTATTTAATATATTAGATCAAGATGGTAACCCTGTTAATGTAGGTAGTATTCTATTGGAATGTTATCTTGAGTAAGTTAAATGGATGAAGACATTAAAATTGAGCAAAGTTTAAGAGATATTTATTATAATCCACAAACAGGTTATCAATCAGCAGAACGGCTTTATCAGAAAGCATTAGAAGAAGGTATAGATGTTAGTAGAAAACAGGTTAAAGAATGGTTAATATCTCAAGATACATACACTAGATATAAACCTATTATTAGAGACATAAATTCAGACAAACAAGAGTAAACTATCTTGGTGAACAAATACAAATGGATTTAGTTGATATGGGTTCTTATAAGTATAAAAAACAATGGTTATTATTGGATATTAACAGCTATTGAAATATTAGTAGATATGCATTTGCTATCCCTGTTTATAGAAAGACACAAATAATATGACAAAAAGCTGTTGCAAACTATTAAGTCAATTTAAAGATAGATTTAATGATTAAATCCAAACTAGCTCAATTTGATGATGGTAAAGAATTTTATAATGTAGGTGTTAAATCATTATTAGAAAAACATGGAATTAAGTACTTCTCTACTAAAAATGATAAAAGGCTGCAATTGTCGAACGATTCAACAGAACGCTTTAAACATCTATGTGGAAATATTTCATAGTAAAGGAACATATAAATGGATTGATATATTAGATGATTTAGTATATAATTATAACAATACAAAAACACAGTACAATCTTGATGAAGCCTAAAGATGTTACTAAAAATAATGAAGATGATTTTAGCAATGGAATACATTTATAATGGTCTAGATGAAGTTGCTTATTTACCATTACCTAGA